GGTCCACCACATGTGAGTGTTATGTTATGCTTTATGTACAATAATTATGTACAACAAGAATTATTCAATATTATTTTATTGAAGAATGTCTGATTGAAAATGAGTAGAAGAATGAGAATAAAAAACATATCGTGGCTCAAACAGGGCTAAGTATAGAATAACACATGCCTCCATTGACCATTTTTCCTTCACATGTGAGCATATATTATAGTAGTACTGCGCTTAACTACCATTACGAACTTTAATACATTTTGTGATCCCATTTAACAATAATTTAATATGTACAATACATTTTTAACACTTTTAAATAAATCAACAACAAAATATTGTATGGACTACCCTTTTTTCAAAATATGCATAAACAAATATTTTAATATGAAATACTAAAAAATATATACATATTGCAAAGTAATGAGCACAGTCATAGTATTATTATAATAATAATAATTTTATTAAGTAAATAACGCGTATGCAATGTTCGTTCAAACTCCAGTTTATTGATCATTCGAACAAATTTATTTTCTTGCCAACTCTCCATTTAAAGCAAAAAGTAAAAAAAAAAAAAAAAAGTGATAAAAATGAAAACATATGAATATTTGAAAAATGTAATCATGTTATTTTGCTAAAAAATATCAAATTTCTGATCATCCATTTAAGATGAAATTACAGCTAATATTCCTCTATATTGTGTTTTCCAATATAATTATCTAAAACAATTAAATGTTGAAGTATTTTTGAACAATTTACGAAACTAAAAAATAGTTTATTTTTAATTTAGTTATAAGTGTTAATGCAATATTTGTATTATATTATTATAGTTAAAGGAATCAAAAGATGAAGGAAAGTTTGTATAGATATTTTAAACGTTATCACTATTATTTATCCTAACATGCAAAAAAAAAGTTGGTCAATACATAAAGAAAAGCTTTAATATTGGAACGATCTTACATACACATGTGATAGGACCATTCATTCAAATCATGACATCTAAGACCTTTAAAAAAATCAAATCATGATATCTCGACATTCGATGTGGTAAGATACAGAAACATAGTGGGTGTTTGAATTTGAAAAGTCGCATTTTGAGTGTCATCAAGTTCGAGACATTGTGATTTGAGTGATGGTCCTACCATGTGTGCACATATGATCATCATACCGATGCTTTTCTCAAATACGTGTATACATTATTCAAAAAATGAAATAAGGGAGGTACATATAATTTTTGAAAAATGAAGGGGTGTTTCTAAAATTGTTATAAATTTTAAGGGAGGTATGCATTATTGAAAACATGAAATAAGGGAGGTTTGTATAATTTTTGAAAATTGAAGGGGCGTCTATGAAGTTTTCGTAAATCTAGGGACGTATACATTATTCAAAACTTGAAATAATGAGAGTTTGTGCAAGTTTTGAAAATGAAGGGAATGCCTCTGAATTTTAATAAACCTCAGGCGAGTCCATGTAATTTATCTCTAACTTTAACTAATGGACTATTAATTTGTGAAAATTTCTTTGTTTCATTTGGGTGTTTGCTTTATCCATCATACACACTCATATATATTCTTGGTAATTCGTCTTACCGAACATTTCATAAATATTTTGTAACTACATAATGCATTAAACATGTCTGATACATAAAGCTCGACATACGTAAACATACGAGATTTCAACTTTTTTATGGTTTTTGAAAGTTTATTTCTTTTCCATTATTTTACCAAATATTTTATTAATAGATTATTGTGAGAATTGAACTTGACTCAATAGTTTCTCACCAAAACACAAACTTCAAACGATCAAATTAATGAAATGTTAAAGTTTTTTGAGAAAATTACATAAATCTCCCCTCAAGTTTATGACAATCATACAAACATCCCATTTATTTTCAAAATTTCCCATGAGGGTTTTCATTATGTTAACTGATTCCTTTGTCAAAAAATTTAAATATTTATTTTTCATTTTACCTTTATAGTGTTTTAAAAAAAAAAATTTATGAATATTTTTTATTTAGTTAAAATACTATTATAAATTTTTTTATAAATTTTTTTCAACTATGATTAATAAATAATTAAAAAGTCAATATGTATA